AAATCACTTGCAAATTTATTTAGACCAATGTGAAGATTATTTGTAATTTTGTATACAATATTATAAGTTATGTACACTTTTCTTTATGAGAGAAGAGAATAAAAACCTATGAAGAAAAAAATTTGATATGTTACTGTTAGAGTACTTTTGATGACACAGGCAAATCAACGTCGAATCTTAGTATCCACACATTTTCTTTCTATTTTCTCTCAATAGAGTCAAGCAACTTTACATTCTAGATTACTTCACATCTTATACGGTGTATTTTTGCCTTAGCTTATTATTTGCCATCCGTTTTATTGTTTTGAATTATCTTATTTTCCTGCGGGATATTCCCTGAAAAATTTCCACGAGTATGTGTCCCCAGTAGGTATAAAGTTCGCACCGTGTTAGGTCGAAGATCATGTTGCTTCTGTTTTAATATTTTTAATAAATGATCTTTGTCTATTGTTTTGCGATAATCACATGAAATCCTGTCTATATTCTTTTCTCAAGTATTATAGCCCAATTTGTCTTGCCTCTTGACTGAAATAAAATATAATTTTGGGAATATTGGAACCAATGTCAATATCAATATATTTGTAAAATTGAAGTCAACGCTGCTGCTTCTACCATACTTGCCAACACCCTGGTAACAGAAGTCCAACTCTATACACCCCAAACACAAAGCACAAATAAAAAAACAAACAACATTTTTGGGGGGTAAATTGCAACTGAGAACAGCTATTATATATCAATATTGTACCATCCTCAAAAGTGCTACACGTTGGTCCCCACTAACACAAGGGAACGCCTTAAGTAGTAGATATATCGCTGTATAGTAATCATAGTAAAAACAAAGTAATGAACTATATTCATCAATACGGCTGTAAAAGATGTGAATATCTTTGATTTTATTAGTGAAAATAGTGCTATTATTAGTATTTCTAGCAAAGCGTCATATCTTTAAATTATTCCACAGTATCCAGGAAGTCATCTGAAGAATATTTGAATTTTCTTTTAGTAAGAATTTGAATCAGAGATAATATGTCTAATCTACAGTATCAGATAATTGAAACTAATGCACATAACATGCTTGAGAGATAAGAAAGAAATCATGATCCACAATATTAATGTAAGAACAATGTTCATCAATCACGTGTTTGGATTCATGAGGTTTAAAGGAGGTTAGGGCACGTATGCCGACGGTCACATATCACTTCTCTTCCTCTTCATTGACATATTGGAAATAAAAGCGCTTTGATCTGCGTTCTGAACCCGACATTGATTCATGATGAAAACGACTTTTATCATTCTTTGCCTTTTTTGCATCACCCTTTTCAATGCCACAGGTTAGTATCGTGACATCTGAGGAATGGAACGAATGACACTATAACAACTCCGAGACAATGCTAATTTATAGAATGTTCCCCAAGTCAATTTATTAATCAGGAGAGTCGTAGGCTACGTCATTGAAAACATTACTTTGTCGTTGTTGATATTTCAGATGCATGGAGTCGTCGGCGGCGTCGTCGATCGGACCCTGCTCCACCGATTCCTCCACCTGCACGTAAGTAGCAATCGATATTCATAGACCATGTTTACATGATAATGATCTTGATATGTTATTAATCAATGAAACAATTATTGCGTTGTGTTTCCTTCAAGTTGCTTGGATAACAACACATAAGAACCCCCTTGATATACCCTCCTGCCATTTTCTTTAAAAAAAGACTATGTGTCTATACAGACCACATTTTTGTTTTCTTTGAAAAATATTTCCCTGAGTGGGATTTCTATACACACGTTTCATTGAATACTGCGCTCTAAATACTTCTGTAAAAAAAAGTCAGTCTTTATGCGACTGTAATGAAATGTTTCTGGAAATATAATTCACAAAATGAATAATTGCATCTAATTTATTTCGATAAACTCATTCGAATCCACCTATGCCGTCACCAATGATATTGATGTTTTTCTCGGGCTTTTTTCATGTAGCTACGCCTCCTAGATTTTACAACTGCCCGCAGGCCCTCCCTGTCCAGTATACTACTACCTCCACTGCGGTAGTCACGTGGGTTGAACCAACATGCACAGACACAGAATCGTCATGTACAGTAAGGTAATATTATTACGCATTACTACGCATACTCATGTAGTTCTTGAACTAATGTTCCCCTCGACAACTTAAATACTTTCCAGAGGCTTGTCAGCCATAGCAATAATTGATTTACGCAAAGTGATTCCATCTATCGATATGCCTTTGCATGCATCGCAGAAGAATTTAATAGTAGCCAAAGGTTCTAAAAAGAAAATGCATACATTCAAATTCCTTAGATATCATTTCTATTGAGCGGGACTAATACGACCAACCTGAAATACGGAATCAAAATTCAGAGAGAGAATAATGGACACATAATGAATGAAATCCAGTCATTATCATATTCAATAATTTATACCAAGGGTATGAATAATTGACTGAAATTTAATTACATCATCATCACAATATTTATTCATATAAAAATATAAAAGATGAAAGCATATCTACATATATATTAGCATTTGGCAAAATAAAATTCAAAATATACAGAAAATATGAAAGTATAAACCCTAATACAAATTTGCAAATTGTATACATTAGTTGTTTCTTGGTAGTACCAGGGAGTTAATTCTCTCTCACAACCATTATGGCTTGCCCTAGCTAATAACGCGTAAAATATACGTAATGCATTCTTAGTATTGAAATACAATTATTCGAATTATTCGTAAGTTATTTCTATCGAGGCACTTTTGTATGAATTTGGTTACATTGCGAAAATGGCATATTTGAAATACGGGTTGACTTAACAGCAGAGCTTTCTTCGACGTCTTATTAATCGCCTTTGAAAAGGATTGTCGACAACTTCCTTCCTTTTTCCTGTGGCTTTTGTATTTCCTTTTCTGATGACAGGTATAGTGTGATAATATCACAAAGACTAACCAACACTGGTACGAATAAACCAAGGAGCACAACAACGAAACCCAAATCCATGTAAAACTATTTCTTGGCTAGGCCAATCAAGAAGGATAAGCTGCTTTTTCAAGAGGGATGTGCCGATGCCGGTGCGCCATTCGGTGATTGGTCGTTGGTAAAAAATGAATCGACTTTAAAATGTGTCAAGCACTTCTTATTTATGTCCTTTCCACCTTCAGCCGATTTCATCTCCTCTCTCTCTCTAAAAAAAAAACCAAAAAAAATGTTGTTCACTCTGTTTCTGTAATGCTGTATACCTTCTCCTTTCCTGAAACATGTATATGGGTCTATTGACGACTGTCTCATCTTTGCTCTGTTTTTAATATCTCCTATACATACTCCCCCTCTCCAAATTTCTCTCCCGTTTCTTTACCCCTCCTCCCCTCCCTCTCCCACTTCCTCTCCCTTTTCTTCACCCCTCCTCCCTCCCCCTCTCTCCTTCTGCTCCTGCAGCCGAAGTGGTCCTCCATCAGGGTCTTCTTTCAGCGAAGGCTCGCACAGCATCGCATACACCGCCATTGACACTAGTGGATTGACTGCATCTTGTACCGTTTCCTTTACTGTCAAAGGTAGGTATTGAAGTAAAAATAATAATTTATTCAAAACATCGACCAACATCAATCTGTCGAATCATGTAGGTGATAGCCCTTCATTTGGAATATGAAATTGCATGTCTTTGTATTCAAAGCATTACACAACCAAACGATGCTGTGACGTAGATGAAGCATAATTATTACAGCGGCACTAAATCACAGGGCCGACTCATACCCGGGCTACTGTCACCCCTCTTAATTCGGAGAGCGAGTTCGTCTGTATTTGTATATCTCACCTAGTACATACGGATGTTAGATTCTTTGATATCCAACTATGCTTTGGTACCTTCCATTACGTTTTCCTCTATATATCGCCTCCTCCCTCCTTATATAAAAAAACCTTAAAGGTACCTAGTTCTGCACATATGATATCAAATGTGTTTTTTCACTTTATATTTGGCCTCATATAAGTTCTTATTTAGATCTGCAATCAGTTATGTCAGACCTTATATGAGGCTGAATATAAAATCAGATGTAACACAACATGAAGGCCGACCAGAAAGCTTGCATGGCCTGCCAAAACATAGAGTTTATATTAATTTGAATTAATTAAGAAGAAAATGACTCATCTCCACATGGGGAATATCTTTGCAGTGATCCGCTGCAGTAGTCCTAGTTCTCCTCAACATTGCACCATGAGTTGCACCAAGTCCAACTCTGTAGGGTCAGTTTGTACATACCAGTGTGCCACTGGACTGACTCTATCGGGATCATCTCAACGTGTTTGCCAAGAGGTTAGTGGTAACGCGGCCCAGTGGACCGGCACCCAACCCACATGTACAGGTAGGAACACATTCGATAAGAAGAACTGGACAGTGTTATCTGAAGAAAAGAAAAAGCTCTTTGTGGTTGTTAACAGGACTGGTATAATAAATCTTGAAATCACTTTTGTTAGATGTCGTCGAATTTAGTCGATTGACAAAATGTATAAAGGAGTATAAAAATGTTCACCTATTTTGAAAGGAAAATAAGCAATGTGTAGTTGAAAGTGATTTAACTGAATTTCGGTTTTGATTACATGCTAATCGTCTCCCTCTCCTACTCTCTCTCTCTCTCTCTCTTTCTATTTCTCCCCCTCTCTATTTCTCTCTCTCTCTCTCTCTTTATCTTAATGGTTCCATTGATTGTTTTGTATTTTACTTGATGGCTAAGCATGCAAGTTTATGTTTGTAAGTAGTAGACCTACGTAGGAGATATGCGGCTTCAAGAAGTCATATCCACTGGGATGAATGACTGACTCCAGAGTGCCAAGGCATGGACTGGGAATTACTCAGGTTTTCCAAGACCATTATAATGATTGTCCTCCAAGATATACAACGAGGAGTGTATACAACATTCTTAAGTGTCTCTTCTGAACAAGAATAATCTTGTTTTGCTTGTGATTGTTTAGATGATCATGCACCAACCATTACAAACTGTCCAAGTTCCTTCGTCGCCCATCAGACGGAGACATGGGGAGTGGAAGTTACATTCACAATACCAACGGCTACGGACACTTTTGACCAGACTCTGCAGACATGGACAGTTCCTGCGGACCTCACATCGCCTTACATTTTCACTGCGGATACTACTTGCGAGTATCACTTCCGGGACGACGCGGGTAACACGGCTTCGTGCATCTTTGATGTCTCGATCCACGGTAAAGACTGTTTTGCTGCCAATCCAAACACCTTTTTTAACAGAGATATGGAAAATCACTTTCTGTCATAATGTACTTCTCAAGTGGAAGGCCAAAATTTTGAAAACATTGGGAATATGAAATCATATGTCTTTGTATTGCAATCATTATACAACCAAACGATGCTGTGACATAGATGAACCATATCGCAGGGGCACCAATTATCACAGGGCCGAAACTTAAATATCCGGGCTACCGTTACCACCTCTTAATGCGGACAGAAAGTTCGTCTGTATTTGTATATCTTATCTAGTACATACGGATGTAAGATTTTGTTGATATCCTACTATCCTATTGAACCTTCCATTACGTTTTCCTCTATATATCGCCTCCTCCCTCCTTATATAAAAAAACCTTAAAGGTACCTAGTTCTGCACATATGATATCAAATGTGTTTTTTCACTTTATATTTGGCCTCATATAAGTTCTTATTTAGATCTGCAATCAGTTATGTCAGACCTTATATGAGGCTGAATATAAAATCAGATGTAACACAACATGAAGGCCGACCAGAAAGCTTGCATGGCCTGCCAAAACATAGAGTTTATATTAATTTGAATTAATTAAGAAGAAAATGACTCATCTCCACATGGGGAATATCTTTGCAGTGATCCGCTGCAGTAGTCCTAGTTCTCCTCAACATTGCACCATGAGTTGCACCAAGTCCAACTCTGTAGGTTCAGTTTGTACATACCAGTGTGCCACTGGACTGACTCTATCGGGGTCATCTCAACGTGTTTGCCAAGAGGTTAGTGGTAACGCTGCCCAGTGGACCGGCACCCAACCCGCATGCACAGGTAGGAACAAATCCGATATGAAGTAATGGAAAGTGTCTACTGAAGAAAAGAAATAGCTCTTCGTTGTTTTTAACAGGATTGGAATAATACATCATGAAATCTTTTTTTTTTAGATGTCGTCAAATTTAGTCGATTAACAAAATGTATAAAGGAGTAAATGTTCACTTTTTTGACGGAAAATAAGCAAGTTCCTTCGTCGCCCATCAGAGGGAAAGTGATTTAACTGGATTTTGATTTTCTTTACGTGCTAATCGTCTTTTTTTCTGTCTCTCTCTCTCGCCCTCTCTCTCTCTCTCTCGATTTCTCCCTCTCTCTCTCTCTCTCTCTATTATCGTTATGGTTCCATTGATTGTTTTGCATTTTACGTGATGGCTTTATAAACATGCAAGTTGATTTTTGTAAGTTATAGACCTACGTAGGAGATATGCGGCTTCAAGAAGGTCTATCCACTGGGATGAATGACTTACTCCAGAGGTATGGACTGGGAATTACTCAGGTTTTCCAAGACCATTATAATGATTGTCCTCCAAGATATACAACGAGGAGTGTATACAACATTCTTACGTGTCTCTTCTGAACATGAATGATCTGTTTTGCTTGTGATTGTTTAGATGATCATGCACCAACCATTACAAACTGTCCAAGTTCCTTCGTCGCCCATCAGAGGGAGACATGGGGAGTGGAAGCTACATTTTCAATACCAACGGCTACGGACACTTATGACCAGACGCTGCAGACATGGACAGTTCCTGCGGACCTCACATCTCCTTATAACTTCACTGCGGATACTACTTGCGAGTATCACTTCCAGGACGACGCGGGTAACACGGCTTCGTGTACTTTTGATGTCTCGATACACGGTAAAGAGTGTTTTGTTGCCAATGCAAACGCCTTTATTTTAAAGAGATATGGAAAATCACTTTCTGTCATTAATGAACTTCTCAAATGGAAGGCCAAAATTTGGAATAAATTTGAAATATGAAATCATATGGCTTTGAATTGCAAGCATTATACAACCGAACGCTATGCTGTGACATACTGTAGATGACAGGCGCGGATCCAGGATATCTTAGGGGAGGGGGCCCAACTTTTTTTTTTTTTTGCTTTTGAAAATTTGAAAATCTTGCCGGCCGAAAAGTCACTCAGTGGGGGGGGGGGGGGGGGGGGAGGGGGGGGGGGGGGTACAGAGCACAATTTTTTTTTTTTTATTGTTCCCGAAAATTTGAAAAACGCGCCGGCCAAAAATTCGCTCAGTTGGGGGGGGGGGGGGGGTGGGGGGGGGGGGGGTAGTGAGCATTTTTTTTTTTTTTGATCCACAAAAAAAATTCAATTTGCACCCCCCAAAAGGTAAAAATCACGTGATTTTACATGATTTTTTTCTCAAGGGGGGGGGGGCCGGGCCCGGGCCCGGGCCCCCCCCCCCCCTGGATCCGCCACTGGTAGATGAACCATATCGGAATCTCTTCCCTCCTTATATAATTAACCTTACATAGTATAGTGCTGCACATATTATAAAATGTGTTACTTCCATTTATATTTGGCCTCATATAAGGTCTTATATAGATCTGCAATCAACTTAGTCAGACCTTATGAGGCTGAATATAAAATCAGATGTAACGTAAAGTCCGACAAGAAAGCTTGCATGGCCTGCCAAAACATAGAGTTTATATTCATTTGAACCAAGAAGGAAATAACTCATCTCCACATTGGGAATATCTTTGCAGTGATCCGCTGCAGTAATCCTAGTTCTCCTCAACACTGCACCATGAGTTGCACCAAGTCCAACTATATAGGGTCAGTTTGTACATACCAGTGTGCCACAGGACTGACTCTGTCGGGATCATCTCAACGTGTTTGCCAAGAGGTTAGTGGTAACGCTGCCCAGTGGACCGGTACCCAACCCGCATGTACAGGTAGGAACACATTCGATACGTAGTACTGGAAAGTGTTAACGGAAGCAGAGAAATAGCTCTTTGTGTTTTTTTTAACAGGAATGGTATAATAAATCATGAAATCACCTTTTTTTTAGATGTCCCTGAATTTAGACGATTTACAAATTTCACCTATTTTGAACGGTAAATAAGCAATGTGTAGGTAAAAGTGATTTAACTGAATTTTATGTTTGTAAGTTGTAGACCTACATAGGAGATATGCGGCTTTAAGAAGTCCTATCCACTGGGATAAATGACTTACTCCAGGATACTAAGGCATTGACTGGGAATTACTCAGGTTTTCCAAGACCATTATAATGATTGTCCTCCAAGATATACAACGAGGAGTGTATCCAGCATTCTTAAGTGTCTCTTCTGAACATGAATAATCTTTTTTGTTTGTGATTGTTTAGATGATCATGCACCAACCATTACACACTGTCCAAGTTCCTTCGTCGCCCATCAGAGGGAGACATGGGGAGTGGAAGCTACATTCACAATACCAACGGCTACGGATAATTATGACCAGACGCTGCAGACATGGACAGTTCCTGCGGACCTCACATCGCCTTATAACTTCACTGCGGATACTACTTGCGAGTATTACTTCCAGGACGACGCGGGTAACACGGCCTCGTGCACTTTTGATGTCGCGATAAACGGTAAAAAGTGTTTTGTTGCCAATGCAAACGCATTTATTTTACAGAGATATGGAGGATCACGTTCTGTCATAATGGACTTCTCAAATGGAAGGCCAAAATTTGGGATACATTTGGACTATGAAATCACATGTCTTTGTATTGCAAGCATTATACTACCGAACGATGCTGTGACCTAGATGAACCATATTGCAGGGGGACCAATTATCACATGGCCGAAACTTATCCGAGCTACCGTCACCCCCTCTTAATTCGAGTTCGTCTGTATTTGTATATCTCATCTACTACATACGGATGTTAGATTCTTTGATATCCAACTATGCTTTGGTATCTTCCATTACGTTTTCCTCCATATATCGCCTCCTCCCTCCTTATATCAATAATCTTACAGAGTATAGTTCTGCACATATAAAAACAAAGGTTTTATTTCACTTCATATTTGGCCTCATATAAGGTCTTATATAGATCTGCAATCAACTTACTCAGACCCTATGAGGCTGAATATAAAATCAGATGTAACGTAAAGGCCGACACTAGAAAGCTTGGGTCTGCCAAAACATCGAGTTTATATTCATTTGAATCAAGAAGGAAATAATAATGATATCAAAGGTGTTATTTCAATTTGTATTCGGCCTTCATATATAAGGTCTTATATAGATCTCCAATAAACTAAGTCAAAACTTATATGAGGCCAAATATAAAATAAGTTAACGCAAAGGTCGACAAGAAACTTGGGCCTGATATTCATTTGAATCAAAAAGGAAATAACTCATCTCCACATTGGGGATATCTTTGCAGTGATCCTCTGCAATAGTCCTACTTCTCCTCAACACTGCACCATGAGTTGCACCAAGTCCAACTATATAGGGTCAGTTTGTACATACCAGTGTGCCACTGGACTGACTCTATCGGGATCATCTCAACGTGTTTGCCAAGAGGTTAGTGGTAACGCTGCCCAGTGGACCGGTACCCAACCCACATGTACAGGTAGGAACTAATTGGATACGAAGTACTTTAAAGTGTTTACTGAAGAAGAGAAATAGCTCTTTGTAGTTTTAACAGGTTTGAACAAATAATGAAATCTCCCTTTTTTAAAGATGATTTCGGTTTTAGTCGATTGATAATCAGTACAACGGAGTACATTATTTTTCACACCTATTTTGAACGGAAAATAAGCAATGTCTTTATACAGTGCGTCCCAAAAAAAACGAAACCGAGAATTATCCATGTTTTATCATAACTTAATCACAATAATAATAATTAATAAATGACATGTATTTGTAAAGCTTAGATCCTCTTCTTTTGTTTGATGCAACTCATACGATGCATATTTCACGCATGAGTGATTTAAAACAATTTGAAGAGAGGGTACCAAAAAGTCATTTGGCGGGCGGCATCTGAATTTCAAAGAGAAAATCACATTTCTAGAAAGTTCATTTTCTCTTCCCTTTCATATAACACCTCAATTAGGAAAAATGAGCCAGGAATAACAAAGTTCTGTTTGTTTAAAGTAATGTTTGCATTTCCATAATTTAAATAAACTTATTCGTTTTCACTGACTGCCAGCCGTAGCAACAAAAATAGTTGTCAAAGTTTCGTTTTTCTGGGACGCACTATGTAGTTGAAAGTGATTTTGACCGAATTTGATTTGGATGACGTACTGCTCTCCCTCTCTCTATTTCTCTTAATGATTTCATTGATTATGTGGTATTTTATTTGATGGCTAAGCAAGCATGTTTATGTTCGTAAGTAGTGCGTAGGAGATATGCAGCTTTAAGCAGTCCTATCCGCTGGGATGAATCACTTACTCCAGGGTACCCAGGCATGGACTGGGAATGACTCAGTTTTTCCAAGACTATAATAATGATTGTCCTCCAAGATAATATTACATTTATTAAATGACTCTTCTGAACACAAACAATCTTTCTTTGCTTGTGATTGTTTAGATGACCATGCACCAACCATTTCGCACTGTCCAAGCTCCTTGGTCGCCCACCGGACTGAGTACTGGGGAGTAGAAGTCACATTTTCAATACCAACGGCTACGGACACTTTCGACCAGACGCTGCAGGTATGGACAGTTCCTGCGGACCTCGCATCGCCTTATAACTTCACTGCGAATACTACTTGCGAGTACCACTTCCGGGACGACGCGGGTAACGCGGCTTCGTGCATTTTTGATGTCGGGATACACGGTAAAAAGTATTTTGTTGCTTATTCAAATGCCTTTAAAAAAAAAATAGATATGAAGGATCACGTTCTGTCAATGTACTTTTCAAATGGAAGGACAAAAGGCACCCTTTTTAAAGACTAACTACGCTAAAAATAAAGCTCTATCATAAAGAATGTGTACACTCAATTCTTAAATGAAGTGGCAACATAAATCCAAACAACTTTTCAAAGGAAATAAAAGGAATTCTTATAACAAAACACCTAAAATAAACAATGTATACAAGGCACAAAATCTTCCTACGTCAAATGATGATGTTCTTTTCTTTTCATGGCAGATACGGTTGTACCCGAATTTTTAACGTGTCCACCAGACCAAAATTTGCGGACAAACTTTGATATGACCCCAGTGACCTGGGATGAACCAACATTCAAGGATATCCCCGGGGATGAGGTGCGACTCGTCTGTAACTATGGTAGTAACAGCGTTCTGTTGCCATGGGGAATCAATAATGTGATCTACACCGCTACTAATATGAAGAATGGGCTGAGTGGGATCTGCGACTTCTATGTCAATATCGAACGTAAGCATGTGTCTTTGAGGGTTCTAGGACACCTACCCCCTGGACACCCACCCCTGGACACCCACCCCGGATAACCACCCTTTGTCCACTACCCCCTAGGACAACTACCCCCTAGGGCAACCACCCTTTAGGACGATTACCCCTGGGACAACTATCCTGGGACAACTACCCCCAGACAACTACCCCTATTACAACTACCCCCGGACAACTACCCCGGACAATTATCCTAGGGGGTAGTTGTCCTAGGGGGTAGTTTACTGGGAGTGGTTATCCGGGGATGGATGTCCAGAGGGTAGGTGTCCGGATACGGTCTTTGAGTACCCGATTACAATCTGTAAGCTCATCTTCAACTTGAACAAGGAAGCCTTCTGGCCCTTTGACGTCATGTTTCACTCCAGAATGAATGCACTTTAAATATGTGCAGACTGAAGTAATATATATTGACTTGAAATCAAGTAAGAAACTTTCTTATCAATGCCAAACGTTCAATGTAAGTAACATTATTAAATCGGGCAAAATCTATTTAGAGTTGGCATATATTTATGATAAATTAGCAGAATATACACGATGCAATTAACACTAAAAGCATTTAAGGATCTTAATCTTGTCAGTAATTTTCATCGCCATAGAGCTTTATCATATATGTTCATTCTTGATGACAGCAATGCCATGTCTAAAGCTTCGCACACCTGGTCACGGTGCCATATCTTGTGATACCTGGGCCTACGGTCGATACTGCAGCATGTCCTGTAATGATAACTATGACATCCCTGCTCCTAGTCCATTCCAACCTGCTACCGATGTGTTCACATGCGGCTCATCTGGACAGTGGAATCCTACCTCGTATGTGCCTGACTGCTCACGTAAGTTCAGGATAGGATACCAGCAAATCCATGAAAGGAGGAGGTTTTTTTTTCCTTTACGGTATTCAGATACAGACAGGCTTATATTGATAAAAAGATGGGTGAGATTCTTTCCAAATGTCTTTGTAAATGTATATGAGCGTCTTTCTTACAATAGACCGAATGTTAAAGTTGCAGTGGATTTTTTCCTAGTGGCGAATTTAATCTCGTGAGTGAGGAGGGGGGGGGGGGGTGCTACGCCTGCTTCATCCTATCATTGATAGTCTTTCCACAGTAAATCATATCTTCTGAAAATCTTTCACAACATGAAATTTGTACATAACATGCAGCTTTCCTCTTTTAATTTTTTCGAGCGACCACTGAAAAAGGTAGTGTTAGCATCGTTGTTAGCCTAATTAGAGAATCATTCTCTTTTACAGTTCAGTCTTCATAACTTGACCGCGGCTTCCTTAGGCACCGCTAGCTTTATCATCTACATAATTTGGCATCAACCAAGTAATTCTAATGTGGACTAGATGGTTTTATTTTACAAATCACTGTGAAATAGAAGTTATTTTAGCCCAAAATATGAAACATCTTCCTTCATGTTCTATTTCTAATCTAGAAATGCGAGACCCCACTAAGATCAACCTTCCGACAGACCTGCTCTACTACAGTGGCCAGTGTGGTAGTCCAGCCACCTTGTCCGACATCGCACAGTCCTTCATCAAGACTATCGAGAAGTCCGTCCACACTGACATCTGCAAAACGAATGAGGACTGTACGGTCGACAATGTCGTCATCACCTGCGGCTGGCCGACCAGTCGTCGAAGAAAGCGTGCGCTGGTTGGACGACGCCTACGTCACAGTGCCGAAGATTCGCCTCAGGTAGAAAACATCGAAAAGACTACTGATGACATCGAAGAAAGTCTATTCGAAGGCCTCCAGGAGATGCGCATCTCGATGAAGTTAGGTGTCGGTGTATCTAAAGTTAACGACATGAAGGTGGCACAGGAGAAGCTTCAGGATCTGGCAAGAGAAGTGTTGGACATTACCGTCTCTGAAGATAGCGGAAGGTTCAGCTTCTTCATGGAACCTCATGCTGAAAGTGGATATGCGCCCGACGCCTACTTGTTAATCAGCGAACACTACATAGATTGCCCTGATGGTTATGTTGCTGGTCGCAATAACACCAAGTGTGGTAAGTTAACTAACTCCCGATTAAGAAAATATAACAGAAGCCATATTCTTGATATAACGGTTTCATACTGGCTTTTTATGACAATAAAAGGTGATCAGAATATTGAATGAGTTCTTGCTTGCTCATATAGCTAGACTTATGATAACATCGATATACACTGTTGGTCATAATGGTGGAATAATTATTTTGGGGCAAAATGCAATGAATTATTGAAAATTTATTGCATTTTCTTGGTTTTTTTGTTTTTGTGGGGGCGTCGACGTACCCTAGCGCCCGCTGTGTACAGTCATGATTCATTGGCTAAGCAATGGCCTCGTTACTGTGAGCCCCCAGGATCAAAACCGTATCGATATGCTATATTAGTGCCCTTTTATGAGGTATTAATCCCCATTACTGTCAGCTATGACTTAAGGACGTAGGTCCCCTAGTTGATTAGCATTGTAGCACATACATGCTTTAGCAGTCACGCAAACAAACACTCCCCAATTGTCATTCAATAAAATCTGAGAATGTATGCTATCATCTAGATCTATTAGGAATAAATCATTGTCAAAATCATTTTTTAAATTGGGGTAAAAATAATTATTCCACCATTATGGCCAACTGTGTACTATGTTGTTCCCTTTATAGTCTCTTGTACGACTGGTCACCACTACGACACCGAATCTAGGGCGTGTCACCAATGTGGTTATGGACTCTACCAGGACGAGTATTACCAGGTGAGCTGCAAGTCATGTGACACCGGTCAGTCTACCAAACACAAGGGTAGTCCAAGCAAGTCTGATTGTGAAGGTAAGCTGGAAAATACTAGTCAGTTAAAAGGTAATACAAAGTTTTGGTATGGGGTCGTGAATTTGGTTCAAATGAACATATTGGAGGCATATGCGATCCTACAATATTCACTGATCGTTGTCGCGGTCGAAATCGACTCTTAAGTTATGAAATTGTAAATAATAAACACTTTATGTTGCATAGCTCCCTCTCAAGGTCAAATATTCATTAAGCTGTAAAACAATGTTTCTTGACTAAAATCGACCGATTAGCTATTCCCGTTCGGAAATTATATACCACAACTACATATTCTGAGATTTTCATGGTCGCAGCTACCATTGTACGGCCGTAGGAGCTATTTGAAATTTTTCAAAATTTACCGGGAGCACCGGTAAATCTTTATATTCAATTTTTCTCGAAAGCAGAAGTGTTTTAGGGGCTAAAATTTCTAGTCCTTTTAATTCATCCCCAGAGGCATCCAAATATATCAAAATTGTAAAGAATCACTATCCACCCATTTTTCAAAATTTCCCAAAACTTTGTAATACCTTTAAACATTTTCACCTCCAATCATATAGAAGCAAAATGTAAACGATTAAAGTTCAGTAAACTGGACAATTTAGGCAAGAATCGAACTCGAAGTTGTTGTCAATAGAAATATAAACATATTCATCGTTATGCTTTAATTAATGGAACGCTGTATAATGAAGAAACAGCTATCAAAATATAACATAGACACTTTTGATTATGTATTTTACAGATCAATGCGAAGCAGGCCGATTTTCAACATCCGGCTTATCTCCTTGTATCCAATGCCCCCTGCACACCTTTCAGTCGCTGATTGGACAGACGATGTGCTTTGAATGCCCGGATGGAAGAAAGACATGGAACAGAGGAGCATCAGACGTAGAGCAATGTGTCCATATCTAACGCGGATGAGAAAAGATGACTCCCAAATGAGATGTTTTCCGTTTAAAAAGGTTTCCATCCATTCACTCCATACTCTCTTAAGGTTTTAGTCTGAGGGAAACGGCCAATGAAGAATGCAAGAACTATTGACATAAAACATGATTATAATACTTCTGCAGGGCCATATTTTATAAGACTTATGACAAATTAAAAAGTTTGTTTACAGATCAATGCGAAGCAGGCAGGAGTGTGAAGATTCACTGATTTCACAAGCAAGTATTGCTTGTTTAAATCATCCTTTGTTGTATAATTCTGACATGCTTAACAAGTTACTTAGTCATTTTCAGACAAATTTTAGTCGAATTTATTGAATTAAAAATATCAACATTTTAAGTGAACGTAACTGCGAAACATATTACTAAAATTCAATTATCAGTCACCACTACTTTCCCCAAAAATAAAGAGAACAAACAACAGTCAGATTGTAAATGCAAAATTGTATTTAAAAGCAAATTAATGGGATAACCCTTTGAAATCTGTTTGCCTTAAACTATAAAACTTGAAATTGTAAATGCAAAATAATGCGTTTTGATTTCTTTAACACTACAGGAATATTTCGTTTAAAATATGTAATAAACTAAATACTGCATATGGGCATGAGATACATAGTACAGAAGAAGTAATCTCTCGTAAAGTAACGTATAAATAAAGTACAAGAATACAGAGGATCTAATCATAATACTCGTTTAATTATAGCATAAGTTTCAGGTATACAATACCGTCTGCAGTGTTCCGTTATTATTTTCAGTTCGTTGATATTTCTATTCTTTTTTTAAATAAGAACATGACGAGCTTAATGCATTGTTTCTATGACGACTAATTAATTTATATGTATCTTGTACATGATTGAAACGGAAATAAATAAATCTAATTAAATGAGTTCAAGTCTAATATGTTCATTTTTGTATTGTATTAAGTTTTTACAACATATTACAATATACCGTATTTCCTATTCTAGTGTCTACTTCAGATTCAAAGTGAGATTCAGATTTTGTTTTTGAAGTTTCCTCTTTGTATCAAATGAATAGAAAATCAATTTAATTTAACCGATATAATACCGGTATGGAAGAAGAGGCGGGTCCCTAAAACACGAGGCTTGTGATGGGGTTGTCATGATACACACTTACATGCAATATATACATAGTAGGTAGTCCTGCAAAGCATTCGTTAATAGGTAGTATAGTGAAACCTGCATACAGGTAGTCACCTGTATAGAAATACCATATTTTCTGTTTCCCTTTAAAAAAGAAAGAATCGTTTCTCATTGAAATATGGACTATGTGCCTATGTGAACATGCACATAAAGACCACCCGATCATAAAGACAACTGTTTATGTCTCCCTTGAACGATCTTTATAATCAGGTTTCACTGCAGATTAAAAATACACAATACTGGTTTTGCGTTTATACATAGTTCCTTTTTAAACGAATACGTATTGACACATATTTTATGATACTTCATCAAAATCACGTTGAAGACTACATGATCTGCGATTGTCAACGTTGCTTTAGTTTCAATGATAAGTGTTGTTTATACATAAATCCTGGAGCAGTGTCGTTATTTCTATCTTACAGTGTACGCAACATACAGGGTGGATCCAGAATCGCGTATAAGGGGTAGGGGTGTGGGGCAAATGTTTTTTGTCATTGTCGTCTTCCCGAAAACAAATGTTCCCTTATTTCCTGGAATATGATATTGTAAAACTCGTCTGCTCAGCCCGGGAATGGGTAAAGGGCTAAGGGCATAATGTACACTTTTTTCCTGTTTATTTCTTTTTTAAAGGGGTCGGCCCTTTTGCCCACCATTAATTGATCCAATATGGTATAGTCGAGAGGGAGGATGAGAGAGAATGGCCGGAGGGAAGAAGAAGGAGAGAGAAAGAGAGAGAGAGAGAGAGAGAGAGAGAGAGGGGGGGGGGGGGGGGGGGAGAACATTTCCATGGTCCGGCCATGCCATGGGAATATGTCCCCAGTTCCCCGAGATTAAATTATTGCTATCACGGACGACCTACGTAGGTATAAGTAGGTATAAATTAAGGTTCGGACCAAGCGTTAGATCAAAGATCATGTTGCCTCTGTTTACTTTAAAATTTATCTCTGTCTTTTGTTTTGTGATTATCACATGAAATCCTCCTTTGGCCGTATAACAACCTCTTTGTAGTCTTTTTTTCAAGCTTCATAGCAAAATTTGTCTTGCCTCTTGACTGAAATAAAATATAATTTGGGGAATATTGGAACCAATGTCAATTTGTAAAATTGAAGTCAATGCTGCTGCTTCTACCATACTTGCCAACACCCCGGTAACACAGTTCCAACTCTAATACACCCCTCACACAAAACACAAATATAAAACGAACTTTTTAAAAGTAATTTGCAACTGAGAACAGCTGTTATGAATCAATATTGTACCATCCTTTAAAAAAAGGTGCTACATGCGTGTCCCACCACATATTATTTTGATGGATAGTAATTACACATCAGAGAAACAAATATTGAAACCCCTGATAATGTAATCACAATATAGGGGTATATACCAATGTCTAAAATATTGTATATTTTCGCTTTGAGATTTCTCTTTGAAGGTGCCCTTTTTTGTTGGTGCCCCCCCCCCCCCCACTTTGGAAGTCGCTCCGCCGCCTCTGAGAAGAACATTAATTGAAAATGTTATACAAGAACTTGAAAATAAATAATCAGCATGATTTTCATTTTTTTAAAATGAACTAATGAGTCAATACGGCTGTAAACCATGCGAAAATCCTTGACTTTAATAGTGTTAATAAGTAATGATTGGTGTTTCTAACAAAGTGTCATATCTATCAATCTTTCAAGGTATCCGGGAAGTCATCTGAAGAATATAAGTTGAATTTGCCTTTAGTAAGAATTTGAATCAGAGATAATATGTTTAATCTACAGTATCAGATAATTAAAACTAATGCACTTAACCTACTTCAGAGATAAGAAAAACAAATCATGATCTAAAATATACATGTAAGAACAATGTTCATCAATCACTTGGTTGGATTCGTGAGGTTTAAAACAGGTTAGGGCACGTATGCTGAGGGTCACATATCACTTCTCTTTCTCTTCCTCGACATATTAAAATAAATGCAATTTGATCAGCGTTCTGAACCCGACATTGATACAAGATGAAAACGACATCCATCATTCTTTGCCTTTTATGCATCACCCTTTTCCACGCCACAGGTTAGTATCGTGACATCTGAGGAATGAACCGAATTACCCTAAAACAACTCCGAGACATTGCTAATTTACAGAATGTTCCCCTTGTCAATTTATTTATCAGGAGATTCGAATTTCATTAAAAATATTATTTTGTCGTTGTTGATGTTTCAGATGCAGGCCGTCGTCGGCGGCGTCGTCGATCAGACCCACCTCCACCACCTCCTCCACCCTCAAGTAAGTAGCATTCGATATTCATTGACCATGTTGGGATTATAATGATCTTGATATGTTATTAATCAATGAAACAATTAGTGTGTTGTGTTTCCTTCAAGTTGCTTGGATATCAACACTGCATCACTTGTAAGAACCCCTTTGTTTCTCTTCACTTCCTTTCATGTTCTTATTGCCGTGAAACCTGCTTTAGCGACCACCTCTACTGAAAGACAATCTGTCTATAAAGACTACACTTTTTGTTTCCTTTGAAAAATGTTTCCCATTGAAACATGTATTAACGCAAACTGTTCATTGTTTGATTTGTACTATTGTATCTTTGAATGTAAATAATGTATACCTAATAAGTCCTCTGATGACCCAAAGAAATAAAAGCGCAACCTATTCATAAAACCTGCTTATCAAGACTGATTTACGTGTCTCCCCTGAGCGGGCGTTCCATAAACAAGTGTCATTGAATACTGTGCTCTTAATACTTGTTAGAGAAAACAAAGTCAGTCATAATATGCGCCTGTAATGAAATATCTCTGAAAATGTAATTCGCAATTTGTTTGCATCTAATTATTTTCGATAAACTCAATTCACATGCCGTCATCAATGACATTGATGGTTTTTTCGGGCTTTTTTTCATACAGATACGGCTCCCAGATTTTACAACTGCCCGCAGTCCCTCCCTGTCCAGTATACTACTACCTCCACTGCGGTAGTCACGTGGGTTGAACCAACATGCACAGACACAGAATCGTCATGTACAGTGAGGTAATATTATTACGCTTTATTACGCATACTCATTTGGTTTTGATTGATTTATTTACCAACATGCAAAAGCAATACATTTCATACAATGATTTTACATATACAAGAAGAGAAACTATTCGTTAGTAAAAGGGGCCAGATAACTGAATAGCACATTTGCTAGTCGAGCCTAACCCCTTGAACAGCTAAGCAAAGTATTTTGGTACAAATCAGTTTAGAAAACGTTTTAAAAAAAAAATGAATATACTATAACAATCGATACTTTAAAAAACAAAAATAATCAACCATATCTTACAGTATACAAACTTATAATGTAAAATATAAATTGTGTACATAATTATGCAAATTATTGAACTTGATATTTCAATCATGACTTGTTCAACAAATGAATATGTAGTAACATAATTCCGAAACCTATACTATATGTAGTTCTACATGTAGAACGAATGTTTCTCTCTACAACACAAATGCTTGTCAGAGGCTTGTCAGATATAGCAGCAACTGATGTATGCAAGGTGATTCCGTCTATAGACATGCCATTACATGATCGCAAGAGAATTCTGAAGAGAATATGCATACATTTAAATTCATTAGATAACATTACTATTGAGCTGGACTAATAGGACAAGCCTAAACATTCGGAATTGAATGATCACAATAATAAACACACGTTGAGTGAGATCCAGTTATTATCATATTCAATAAATCATACCAAAGCATTTGTTTCCATGATCATCACAATATATATTATTCATATACAAAGATAAAAGATGGAATATCATAACAGATGCAAAAGATATCAAAATTAAATTAAAATTGGCATAATAACATTCAAAATAAACAGAAAATATGATAGTATAAACCATGGTACAAATGGAAAGTGATGCATCCGTGGGAGCTAATAAGGCTTGACAGATGAATGCACCAGGCGAACAAGTAACATAACATTTTTAAATAAAGAAAGAAAAAAGAGTGTATTGTATTCCGTATTGCTATACCCCTTCTCCTTCCCTGAAATATGTGTATGGGTCTCTTGATGACTGTCTCAGTTTCTCTCTTTAAATATCTTCTATACATACCCCCCCCCCTCCTCTCTCTCTCTCTCTCTCTCTCTCTCTCTCTCAATATTTCTTTCACTCTGTTTCTGTAATGCTGCATCACTTCCCCTTTCCTGAAACAATCGTATATGGGTCTCTTGAAGACTGTCTCATTTTTGCTCTCTTTTTAATATCTCCTTTACATACTCCCCCTCTCCCACTTTCTCTCCCTTTTCTTCACCCCCTCTCTCTCTCTTTCTCTCTCTCTCTCGCTCTCTCTCTTTCTGCTCCTGCAGCCGAAGTGGTCCTCCATCAGGGTCATCTTTCGCCGAAGGAACACACAGCATCGCATACACTGCCACTGACACTAGTGGAAAGTCTGCATCTTGTACCGTCTCCTTTACTGTCAATGGTATATATTTTACTTCTTTTATTACCAGTCAGTACGAATAATAATTTATTCAAAACATCAATCTGTCGAATCATGTCTGTGATAGCCCTACATTTGGAATATGAAATTGTATGTCTTTGAATTGCAAGCATTATACAACCAGACGGTGCTCTGACGTAGATAAAGCATATTACAGCGGCACCAACTCACAGGGCCGACTCCCCCTCTTAATTCGGACAGCGAGTTCGTCTGTATTTGTATATCTTATCTAGTATACATACGGATGTTAGATTCTTTGATATCCAACCATGCTTTGGTACCGTCCATTACGTCATCCTTCATATATCGCCTCCTCTTTCCTTATATAAATAACCTTACAGCGTATAGTTCTGCACATATGATAAAAATATGCTTTTTCACTTTATATTTGGCCTCATAATATTATAAGGTCTTACATATAGATCTGCAATCAACATAGTCAGACCTTAGAGAGGCCAAAAATATAAGGTCTTATATAGATCTGCAATCAACTTAGTCAGACCTGAGGCTGAATATAAAATCAGATGTAACGCAAAGGCCGACAACAAAGCTTGGGCCTGCCAAAACATATAGGCCCGAATTCACAAAGGAGGTTTGTCGACAATCCGAGGTTTATGCGTACGTCATATGACGCGTTTTTACGCGTTTTTTACCAACCTGGTTTGTAAAAGACAAAAGGAGGTTTGTCGAAACAAAAAGAGGTTAGTCGACAAACCGAGGTTTGTCGACAAACCTCCTTTGTGAATTCGGGCCCTTAAGTTTATATTCATTTGAATCAATTAAGAAGGAAATAACTCATCTCAACATTGGGAATATCTTTGCAGTGATCCGCTGCAGTAATCCTAGTTCTCCTCAACACTGCACCATGAGTTGCACCAAGTCCAACTCTGTAGGCTCAGTTTGTACATACCAGTGTGCCACTGGACTGACTCTATCGGGGTCATCTCAACGTGTTTGCCAAGAGGTTAGTGGTAACGCTGCCCAGTGGACCGGCACCCAACCCGCATGTACAGGTAGGAACACATCCGATATGAAGTACTGGACAGTGTTATCTGAAGAAAAGAAATAGCTCTTTGTGGTTTTTGACAGGACTAGTAAAATAAGTCATGAAATTACTTTTTTTAATTTTTTTTATAGATGTCTTTGATTTGAGTCGATTGACAAAAAGTATAAAGGAGTACCCAATAAACAAAATCACGTGAAAATCACGTCAATATCAAGGTATCGACTTGAGGAGAGTTACGTTCTTCAAACACCGGACATTTACGTAAATGTGTTAATACGTTTATTGCATTAGGTAACTTGAAACACTCGTACACTTATGCTATGGTCACATTACCCAAAAGTAGGCTGCTCGGCGGCCGAGCGGCGAGTTTTTAACAAATTCTGCCCGGCGGCTGCCCGGCCACCGAGCGGGGGCCGCCCAGGCACCGCTCGTTTTTAGGGCATCGCTCGGTCGCCGCTGAAGTTTTAGCGCGGAGTTAAAATTTGGGCGGCGCCTGCTCATTTTTCACTCGCCGCCGAAAATACGCTCGGTGCCTGGGCGGTCGCCACCCAGGCACCGACCTAATTGCTGGGCGATGCTTAATTCCAGCAGCGACCGAGCAGGCTACTGATCGGTCGGTCGCTGCTCTGATTTGTGACCATAGCTTAAATCACGCAATTGTCACTGCAATATCACCATTATAATAACGTGATTATCCCTACCTTGGAGACCATGGTTTGTAAACCTAATACTCCCGTGTTTGTTTGGTTATGAAATAACATCTTCAAACACGAAATTATCGCGTCACAGAAACACGTGAAGCGTTAATGATAGTTTTAGTCAAAATATCTGCGTGAATATTACGAGGCTGACTTGAGATGAATCATGTTCTTCATTCACGTGAAATTTACGTCGAAGAGGAAGTATGTTACTGTTCAACCCAACAATTACGCAAATGTTACACAATAAATGAACCAAAATAATGACGTTCTCATCCCGTTTCTGAACATCGTGTCTTGGATCTTCCATAATTACGTCCAGGCGCGCCGGAAGCAGTTTGGGATTAGAGGGGGTTGGGTGGGGGGGGGGGGGTGCAAACATCCCAGAAGAGAAAGCTAGTTGCAACTGGTCCAGTTGATGAACCATTTAATGCCAACTGGTAACCCTGGAAATTGAAATGGGCTAAATGATCCAGTTGATCCAGGCCAGTTATAATTCAACTGGTCTAGCTGAGCCATTAGAACCATTTGGTAAAACTTCCAACCAGTTGAACAGCAACAATACTTCAACACTGGTACGTCTGTATTTCCAATGTAAGGGCATTGGTAGTAAATAGACTTACATAATTGAATTAATCGAAAAAATTTCGTATAATTGTACTTTATTGAAATTATTTTAGTTCACAGTTAATGTTTCCCTTATTCATGTTTAACTATTTATACGAAGTAGCGAAATGTCCTAATAATTGGTAATTTATATTTGTAGTATTTTCGAAATGAATTGCATATAACTAAATCATCAGTTATTAAGAAATATGCTGTAAATTCAGATAAATTGTTTAAAAAACATAGATCTGCACGCACCCCATATTCAATATGCAAATGAATTGGTGTCAGCTGGGTCAACTCGAAATATGCCAACGCTCAGTCATCAACTGGTGCAACTGGAAATATGCACACTCCAGTTATCAACTGGTGCAATGAAAATATGCCAACAGTCAGTTATCAACTGGTGAAAATAGAAATATGCCAACAGTCACGGGATTATCACCACGGAACTTAAATGGTAACTGTGAAACCATCAAGACACCTAAGAATAACTCATTTTCACACATGGGAAACACGGAATACCCAGCTTATCACTACTCATCACTGCGGAACTGCTGGCAACTTTGACTACGATTTAAATAGGTGTTTTAAGACACCTAATCATGACTAATTTTTCACACCTAAACGTCACGTATGCCCAGCTTAGATTAATAATCCGTTTGAGTCACGAGATCATCACCGCGGAACTTATGGCAACTTTGACTTCCATTTAAATAGGTGTTTTAAGACACCTAATAATGACTAATTTTTCACACCTAAAAGTCACGTATGCCCTGCTTAGATTAATAATCCGTTTGAGTCACGAGATCATCACCGCGGAACTGCTGACAACTTTGACTACCATTTAAATAGGTGTTTTAACACACCTAAGAATTACTAATTTTTCACACCTAAATATCACGGATTCACAGCTTAGATTAGTAATCAGTTTTAACTACGTGATCATCACCAAGAAAGTTATGATAACTTTGAAACCATTTAAATAGGTGTTTTAAGACACCTAATAATGACTAATTTTTCACAACTAAAAGTCACGTATGACCAGCTTATTTCAATAATCCGTTTGAGTCACGAGATCATCACCGCGGAACTGCTGGCAACTTTGACTACCATTTAAAAAGGTGTTTTAAAACACTTAATAATTACTAATTTTCACACCTACATATCACGTTTTCTCAGCTTAGATTAGTAATCAGCTTGAGCCACGTGATCATAACAAAGAAATTTATGGTAACTTTGAAACCTTTTAAAGAGGTGTAAGACACCTCATAATTACTAGTTGAATATAACCAGAGATTCACGAACAGAACAATAAAACGATTATCCGGTGTAAGTAACGTGATTATTACCATCAACTTTGGATAACCTGTGAAACCAATCAATAAAGGTGCTTACAAGACCAAATAATTACGTATTTATCGCCACCATCGGTTAACTGACAAAAAAATTCGTTGCTTGGTCAAGTGGTTATTTGGTCATAAACACTTGATTTACTGAGGTAAGTGGAATCACGTTACTCCAGTCGCGTGATAAACTGGTGGTTTTTAGGTTAGATGAAAACGTGAACAGGAGTACCTTTTTTGTTTAAATGAAGGCACGTGTCGATAACGTTTAAATCTAGTTCAAAAGGCACTATACTTTAAAATCACTTAAAATACACTCCTAAAAGAGGTTACTTTTTGGTGTTCTGTTTATTGGGTACATTATCACATATTTTGCAAATGATGATAACTGGATCCAATACACGTTTGATTTGGATGACGTGCTACTCTCTCTCTCTCTCTCTCTCCTAACCATCTCTTTCTCTTAATGGTTTCATTGATTGTTGTTTATTTAATTTGATGGCAAATAGTAAGTAGTATATGTAGGGGATATGCGGCTAGTCCTATCCACTGGGATGAATGACTAACTCCAGGATATCAAGGCATTGATTGGGAATGACTCAGGTTTTAACTATTATAACGATTGTCCTCCGAGATTTACCACATTCATTAAGGGTCTCTTCTGAACACGAATAATCTGTTTTGCTTGTGATTGTTTAGATGATCATGCACCAACAATTTCGCAATGTCCAAGCTCTTTGGTCGCCCATCGGACTGAGTACTGGGGAGTGGAAGTCACATTCTCAATACCAACGGCTACGGACAATTTCGATCAGACACTGCAGACATGGACAGTTCCTGCGGACCTCACATCGCCTTACAACTTCACTGCGGATACTATTTGCGAGTTTCACTTCCAGGACGATGCGGGGAATGCTGCCTCGTGTACTTTTGATGTCGAGATACACGGTAAAAAGTATTTTTTTGCTAATGCAAACGCCTTTATTTTACAAAGATATGAAGGTTCACGTTCTGTCATAATGTTCTTCTCAAATGGAAGGACATACTCCTTGTTTATGATTATCTACACCAAAAATAAAGCGTTGTCATAAAGAATGTGTACACTCAATTCTGGATTGAAGTAGCAAAATAACTCGAAACAACTTATACAAGGAAATATATAGAATTCCTTTAAAACCCCACTGAAAATAGATTACAGAGCCGCAAAGATGTATACAAGACACAAAATCTTCCACATTAATTATTGATGATGTTTTGTTCCTTCTTTTAATGGTAGATACGGTTGTACCTGAATTTTTAACGTGCCCACTAGACCAAAGTTTGCGGACAAGCTTGGATATGACCCCAGTGACCTGGGATGAACCAACATATAGGGAAATCCACGGAGATGAGGTGCGACTCGTCTGTAACTATGGTAGTAACAGCGTTCTGTTGCCATGGGGAAATAATAATGTGATCTACACCGCTACTAATATGAAGAATGGACTGAGTGGGATCTGCGACTTCTATGTCAATATCGAACGTAAGCATGTGTCTTTGAGGGTTATAGGACACCTACCCCTAGGACACCTACTCCCTGGACATCCACCCCAGTCAACTACCCCCTATGTCAACTACCCCCTAGGACAACTACCTCCTTGGGGCAACCAGCCTCTAGGACGACTTCCCCCCGGGACAACCACCACCGGACAACTCCCCCTTACGACAACGATCCTCTTGAACAACTACCCCCGGACAACTATCCTTAGGGGTAGTTGTCATAGGCAGGGTGTAGTTGATTTGGGGTGGTTATCCGGGGGATGTCCTGGGAGTAAGTGTCCGGATACGGTCTTTGAGTATCCGATTACTGTAAGCTTATCTTCAACTTGAACAAGCAAGCCTTCTGGTCCTTTGACGTCATGTTTCTTTCCAGAATATATACACTCTAATTATGTGCAGACAAAAGTAATATATATTAATTCAAGTAAGATACTTGCTTATCAATGCAAATCGTGCAATGTACGTAGCAGTATTAAAGCGGGCAAAAATCTATTTTAATACAGTTAACATATATTTATGATACATTAGCAGAATATATACAATGCAATTAACACTAAAAGCATGTAAAGATCTTAATCGTGTCAGTAATTGCCATCGCCCTACCAAAGAGCTTTATCATATCTGTTCATTCTTGATGACAGCAATGCCATGTCTAAAGCTTCGCACACCTGGGCACGGCGCCATATCTTGTGATACCTGGGCCTACGGTCGATACTGTAGCATGTCCTGTAATGATAACTATGACATCCCTGCTCCTAGTCCATTCCAACCTGCTACCGATGTGTTCACATGCGGCTCATCTGGACAGTGGAATCCTACCTCGTATGTGCCTGACTGCTCACGTAAGTTTAGGATAGGATACCAGCAAATCCATGAAGGGAGGAAAAGTTTTGTTCCTTTTAGGTGTTCAGATACAGACAGGCTTATATTGATCAAAAAGATGGGTGAGATTATCTCCAGATGTCTTCGTAATGTATATGAATGTCTTTCTTACAATAGACCGAAGTTAAAGTTGCGAACTTCATCTCGTAAGTGGGAGGTGAGAAGGGTGGGGGGGGGGGGGTACGCCTGATTCACTCTATCCTTGATTTGCAAGGGACAAAACTTAAATCGGCAAGTCCGTATTGCTGTCCATAAATGAGCACGTCTTTTCCCAGTAAATCATATCTTCGGAAAATTTGCACATATTATTATAATAATAATAATAATTAACAACATTTGTATAGCGCTTATCACAAAATATGTCTCTAAGCGCTTAAGAAAAATAGAAAGAGAAGGAATTACAGCCAAATATTAAGTTATACATAATAGATAGTGGACAATCGAGGGGGCTGCATATGCAAATGAAAAAGGCTATTTAACAAAAAAGTAGGTTTTTAACATGGATTTGAATTTGTCTGTTAAATCTGCTTGTTTTATACATTGAGGTAAATTGTTCCAGAGTTGAGGGGATGCTGCATAAAAAGTTCGGGAACCATAAGACTGGGTATTGGTGGCAGGAACTATTATACAGCTTTCCTCTTTTAAATTCCACTTAAGAAAAGTCAATGTAAGGCCTCGTAGTAAACCTAATTAAAGAATCTTTCTCTTTCATTGGATTCTTAATGACTTGGCCGCGGCTTCCTTAGGCACCGCTAGCTTTGACATCTACATAGTTTGGCATCGACCATGTAATTCTAATGTGGACTAGATGGTGTTATTTTAACATTTAATGTGAAATAGAAGTTAATTTAGCCAATAATATGAAACTTCTTCCTACATATTCTATTTTCAACCTAGAAATGCGAGACCCCACTAAAATCAACCTTCCGACAGACCTGCTCTACTACAGTGGTCAGTGTGGTAGTCCAGCCACCTTGTCCGACATCGCACAGTCCTTCATCGAGACTATCGAGAAGTCCGTCCACAGTGACATCTGCAAAATGAATGAGGACTGTACGGTCGACAATGTCGTCATCACCTGTGGCTGGCCGACCCGTCGTCGGAGAAAGCGTGCACTGGTCGGACGACGTCTACGTCACAGTGCGAAAGATTCGCCTCAGGTAGAAGACATCGAAAAGACTACTGATGACATCGAAGAAAGTATATTCGAAGGCCTCCAGGAGATGCGCATCTCGATGAAGTTAGGTGTCGGTGTATCTAAAGTCAATGACATAAAGGTGGCACAGAAGAAGCTTCAGGATCTAGCAAGAGAAGTGTTGAACATTACCGTCTCTGGAGATAGCGGAAGGTTCAGCTTCTTCATGGAACCTCATTCTGAAGGTGAAGATGCGCCCGACGCCTACTTATTGATCAACGAACACTACATAGATTGCCCTGATGGTTACGTTGCTGGTCGCAATAACACCAAATGTGGTAAGTAAACAAATTCCCGATTAAGAAGATATAACAGAAGCCATATTCTTGATGTAACGGTACCATACTGGCCCTTTTTTGACAATTTTCGGTGTTAAGAATAAGTTGCGTAAAGGTGATCACGAGATCGATACTGGAACGCTATTAACGTTGTGAGCTGACGATACAAGAGACTCCATCCCGCCGCCCCCCCCCCCCCACTCAGTGTTATTTAGGGTACGCATAATTATGCATGTTCCCTCCTTTTGAAACACCCAGTTGGGTGTGTAAAACGGGCTTTTGTGTACTACGAGCCGGACTTTGGTGCGTGAAAAGTACCCCTTTACCAGACATTTTGGTAACACGCATGGTATCCCTCCGATCACGGAGTGGGGGGGGGGGGGGGGGGGGACTCCATACAGTTCTCCTTGCTATTTTCCACAATAGAATATTGAATGAGTTCTTGCTTGCTCATATAGCTAGACTTATGATAACATCGATATATTATGTTGTTCCCTTTATAGTCTCTTGTACGACTGGTCACCACTACGACACCGAATCTAGGGCGTGTCACCAATGTGGTTATGGACTCTACCAGGACGAGTATGGCCAGGTGAGCTGCAAGTCATGTGACACTGGTCAGTCTACCAAACACAAGGGCAGTCCCAGCAAGTCTGATTGTGAAGGTAAGCTGGAAAATACTAGTCAGTTTAAACATTTTCACCTCCAATCATATAGAAGCAAAATGTAAACGATTAAAGTTCAGTAAACTGGACAATTTAGGCAAGAATCGAACTCGAAGTTGTTGTCAATAGAAATATAAACATATTCATCGTTATGCTTTAATTTATGGAACGCTGTATAATGAAGAAACAGCTATCAAAATATAACATAGACACTTTTGATTATGTATTTTACAGATCAATGCGAAGCAGGCCGATTTTCAACATCCGGCTTATCTCCTTGTATCCAATGCCCCCTGCACACGTTCCAGTCGCTGATTGGACAGACGATGTGCTTTGAATGCCCGGATGGAAGAAAGACATGGAACAGAGGAGCATCAGACGTAGAGCAATGTGTCCATATCTAACGCGGATGAGAAAAGATAACTCCCAAATGAGATGTTTTCCGTTTAAAAAAGGTTTCCATCCATTCACTCCATACTCTCTTCAGGTTTTAGTCTGAGGGAAACGGCCAATGAAGAATGCACGAACTATTGACATAAAACATGATTATAATACTTCTGCAGGGCCATATTTTATAAGACTTATGACAAATTAAAAAGTTTTTTGTTACGAAGGTATAGGTATGAGACATGGCAGGAGTGTGAAGATTCACCGGTTTCAGAAGCAAGTATTGCTTGTTTAAATCATTCTCTGTTGTATAATTCTTCAATGCTTTACAAGTTGCTTAGTCATTTTCAGATTATCATTAGTCGGATTTATTGAATTAAAAATATCAAAATTTTAAGTGATCGTAACTGCGAAATATATTACTAACATTCAATTATCAGTCACCACTACTTCCCCCCAAAATAAAGAGAACAAACAACAGTCAGATTGTAAATGCAAAATTGTATATACAAGCAAATTGATGGGATAACCCTTTGAAATCTGTTTGCCATAAACTTTAAAACTTGAAAATTGTAAATGCAAAATGACGCCTTTTGATTTCTTTAACACTACAGGAATATTTCGTTTAAAATATGTAATAAACTAAATACTGCATATGGGCATAAGATACTTGGTATAGAAGAAGAAATCTCTCGTAAAGTAACGTATCAAATAAAGTACAAGAATGCCGAGGATCAAACCATAATTTTCACTCAGTTATAGCATAACTTTAAGGTATACATTACCGTCTGCAGTGTTGCGTTATTATTTTCAGTTCTTAGATATTCAACTATTCTGTCTTTTATACGAACTTAATACATTGTTTCTGTGCCAATTACTGAATTTATATGTATCTTGTACATGATTGAAACGGAAATAAATAAATCTAATTAAATGAGTTCAAGTCTAATATGTCCAGTCTTGTATTGTATTAGGTATTTAAAACATAATAAATATACCGTATTTCCTAATCTAGTGTCTACTTTCAGATTCAAAGTCAGATTCAAATTAAATCTGCTTTTCCTATTTGTATCAAATGAATAGAAAATCAATTTAAAAATTGTTATCAGATTGTAAATGAATTACAATCGTGCACGCGATCGATACAGAAAATTTGGCCCATAATATGAATATGTCTATAATAATTATAATAATAATAATAATAATGATAATAAAAACGGTGCTTATAAAGCGCTTTTCACCGTAGTCTCTATGAAAACAAAATCCACGCTTGTTGTTTGTTTGTTTCTTGTTTCTGGCTACTCTTCGAATATAGAGGAGTGGAAATTCATCATTCTGTTTAGTCGTAATTATCAGGGCTCATTTCCTTCGAAGTTGAATGAACTTCAGATAATCTAACGGAACTGCTTTTTTAATGTGACTCCACCAAAAGTTGACTTCTGGCATCTTGTACATTTGCAGGAGAAACACAAGGCGCTAACTTTCAAAACACAAAAAAATACTGAGAAAAGGCCAAATGAACTTAGATTTTTGTGTTTTTGTTATGACATTGTCCAAGGGCGGCGATCCCAGGGGGGGGGGGGGGACACGGGGGGGGGGGGGAGGACACGTCCCCCCTCATTTTTTTTAGGGAGGATCGTCCCCCCCCCCCTGAAATTTAAAAAAAAAAAATCAAAAAAATAAGTGTATAGCAAATACTGACTAAAGACTGCAACAAACTGTTAGGCTCATAGGGGCAAACGAGTGCAGCGTTTAGACAAAACAAGTGCAAAAATCTTCTCGCTCGGGAGTTACGCTCCCTAGCATATTAAATGCCTAAAACCCTTGAGCTTCATGGGGCTACGCCCCTGGACCCCGGGCCAATTTACGCTCCACTTGTGTCGCTTGCTTTGCTCGTTTTGCTCTACCTGATCAAAAATACTTAAGCGCCCCCCCCCCCACTTTGAAAACGTCTCGGGGGGCCTGCATGTAGGAATGGGGGTGGTGCAAATTTTGTTGTCTGCCCCCCCCCCCCAAAAAAAATGTTTTGCTCATTACGCCACTGCTCCCCCGTCCCTCGCATTTCGTCCCCAGGTCATAAAAATAAATCGCGTCATTGTCGTACATTTCTTTCGAGACGCCATTTCTTACACGCATCTAACTGAAAACGGCGATATAAGCCACTTCTTTAGCTTCAGAGAAAATACCTGCGCATGGGAAGAAAAGGGTCTTTTTTTCGAAACTGTAAAACCCATCAAGCCCGTATCAGGACAATTACCCCCTTGGACAATCACCCCATAAATCTACCCCCCCCCCCAGGACAATAACCCCCGGAAAATTACGCCCGGAGAATTACCCCCAACTCTGAAAATTATCCCTCGAGGATAATTACCCCCCCCCCCGGAGGACAATTATCCCCACCCCTGAAAATTAACCCTTAGGACAATTACCCCCCCCCCCCCCCGTTCATTGAAGGGGAAGTCCACCCTGATAATAAGTTGGTTTAGATAATTGATTGTCTAAGGGGATTTTCAGGGGGTGGTGGTAATTGTCCTAGGGGGGGGGGGGGATTTTACAGAGGGTGATTGTCGTCAGGGGTAACTATCTCCGGGGGTAAGTGTCCCATAACCCATCGAGCCGACTGCTGGATATGTGATCATGACAGTTATGTAATCATTACTTATGTATCGACGGTATATTATGGTACACAGGTAAAATAATTATTTTCAAGAGGGCAAGCAAAAGGTATTCATGAAACACCCCTACCACTTATAATTTGGCCGTGATTATTATAAAATACACAAAGTGGAACGTTTCCATTTGTAAAAGATCTGTGTATAATTGGAGGTCGTTGTGTACAAGACTGTTATCTCTGAAGTGGCTAATTGTAGGCCACGCACAAGGATGTTTACCAAATCCTATTTTATCAGGAAAGCTGCCTTGACAAACATTGCGTGTTTTTTGTACAGCTATATGCCCTATTAAGTTAAGTCATCATTTGTATATATATATATATATATATATATATATATATATATATATATATACGGATCATGTCATTCAAATGTAGTTAGGTATGAAATTACATGTTTTCAATTAATATGTATCTTATAAATTGTTATACAAAGATGGAATCTAAATAAAGTGAATTGAATTGGAAGAATAATTCAATTTGCACACGAGGCGTCATTTTCACCGCGTCGTTATACATTAAATTTATCCAGCCTAATTAAGTCCGTGAAGGCACATCAACGTATCAAACATGTGGGCTACTAAAGTATGCCTGTATACAAAAATGATAGATAAGTAACAATGATAGTGTTTCAGCTAGGACTTAAAAATGATTCATTAAATTATAATATATGAAAGCCAAAATAAAATATTGATCTCTCTTGATTGTTACCGCTGAGTCAAAATGGGCCAGCACCGAAAATATCTGGAATCATAACTAGCTGGCACCATCTGGCAGGGCCGCAGGGGCTTGACAACATGAAACAGAATCACTTTTTTTGTGTGTAGATCTTTCCGTGGAGACTTGGTGATTTCATTCCGACTAGGCCTAGGGTATACTGGTGCCCTCCAAATTACTGATATTGTCTTTTTCAATGTAAATTTGTGCAACGCCCCCTCCTATCTCCCACCCCCTAGCTACAGCGTTGTTACATTGCTTTTTTGCACAAATAACGTGTCACCTGACTGATTGATCAGCTGAGCTGAGCAAACTATTATCACGTGACTATGTCGACGGTGTGTGTATTATTTATACCAGAGTAGACTTTGGTGTGTACGTGTACGTATGCGCTCGCTCATATAAAACAGGTAATGTTGAATTTTGTGCTTTTATAATTTGTAATTACAATTAAGAAGGATCCCAGAAGTATTGTGAGACTTTGTACCTCATTTTCATGCTTTTGTTTAGTTTTTATGGACAAATCTTAATCCCTCACTTCAGACTAGATCTAAAGCCTAAAGGCTTTTTTTTTAAGTCTTAAATTTATTTAACAGTTTCACTTTCAGTTTAAGTTTTGGTTATAGGCCTATATTTTTATTTAAGTTTTAATTATTAATTACTAATAGTAATAATCTTAGTAATACAATAGACTAGACCCTCTTCTTACTAGTAATAATCGTGCCAATCATTTCTGGATTGTCAAATCCTAAAAAGTACAAAACAAATCATTGTGTTGTATTTTTGGCATTCAATCCAATTTGACTATTTATGCCTAGACTATAGACTTAGTCTAACTCTTGAGTCACGTAGAGCTAGAGTCTACAGTCTAGAATAGAGGTAATCGAGTCGTAATAATTCCTAGCTTGGAAAAATCAGTGCGTCTGTGCTTCGCTGGTCCATTACTGAGCTGAGACTGGGAGTGCTAACTGCTGGGGATGTATCCTCCTGGCCAGCGTGGCCAACCGTGCTACATACATTTAATTGATTGAGCGAGCTTATCAATCCTTCGGATCTAGGCCACTCATGTACTCAGGAACACAATGTGCTGCTATATAGCATGACGTCACTTGAGTTTTCTTGTTTTGGCGTTGTTATTCTGTCAAGAATGAGCAAAAGAAACTGTTTAACAAATTTTACGTCAAACAATTGAAACAAATAGAACAGGAGCATGCATGCACCTGCACTGGATATATAGACGGAGAGACACTGGTTAACAGTGAACAGTGTGGCTATGATTATGTCATTTAAGTGACGCTGAGTCTGTGGCTTGGAGCTGGCGCGTTGACCATCGCCATTGTTGCGTTGAGGCCATGTTCACCAACATCCCATCGTAACTTGTGTTAAGAACTTGAACCTATGATGGTTTTGGTGAAACGCTGCATGGCTTGCATTTCTGTCTTACTAATTACTAATCTAGTATTAGAATTTTTGTGCAAAATGTCAGGGGAAAATGAGTAAGTGTTCAGGGATAATATTATGTTCGGCTGACACTATATCTGGCTTCATAGAGGATCACGTTTGAAGGCAAAAGAGGTATTAAAAAAATATGTAAAATTTTGATCTGACTCGGACCAAAATTTGAAATATTGTAGAGTGTGCATCCCATCGAGAGGGTTTGGCTTAACTCAGTACTAGGACCAACTCTGAGTTGCGCAGGGATTGGAACACTAAATAGAAATAAATGTAAGGTTTTATAGAATTTCACCACTTACAATTTTCAACATTACCTGTTATCAACTGTTTACCTATTCTCATCAAACAATTATTGAATTGGATGTTAATGAAGACATAGCTAATTACAATGTAAAACATTTACATGAGCAGTCGGACTTGCGATCATTTCAGCTCTCATAGGTTACACCGTATCCGTCCATGATTTCTGTAATGGCTGAGCTTTCCCATGTGTCAAGTTAGCCTGGATCCTTACCAAGTATGAAAAGTCTTGTCTTGTTTTTCCTACAATCTTGAATATACCTGTCATCTCTTGTACCTGTAGAGATAATGAGAATGTGAGGTATTGTGAATGGATTTTTGTAATACTTCTGCAGGAATCAGGACAGTCGGCCATTTGATGCATGGAAGCCCCATCAGAGAACATGGACAGTAAAGATGTGCCTCAAGTTCAGATCAGGGACACAGAAAGTCTTATTCCCCGCGATGATAACGGCGAGAGAAAGCCATTAGTCACAAGGTCAGTGATTGTTTCATTCGGAACGTTATTCCTGTTTTTAAATAGATTCATTAGTGACATAGTGAGTGAGGATAATATTTTATCCTTTTGATTGAATAACTCTATCTATACTTGATGATATTCTTGTGATAAAATATAATAATCTATGTATTCAAGCAAGATGCTTAACCATGTAAAGTTATGCATGTTAAAAATATATAATAATTTTACGAATTTAATTACCGTATGTATATTTTCATGGTTTGCATGTTTAAAAAAAAAAATTGATATCGTCTTTTGCAATTCAGCTACTACCCCAATGGGCAAGAAATGGTCAGGTTTGAGCCAGATTTTCAGTGTAACCGAGGTAAAGAGATCTAAAGGTCCAGTCAGATTGAAAGCATCCTGAAATAAAAAGCTCATAATGAAAGATAACCAGTCGATAATAAGTGGAGATCTGTTGACAGTTGGAGATTAAATTTTTTAATATGATCAAACAAATGAATAATCACTATTAACTTTCATCTGCTCTAGCACCAAAGGGCAGAATGCCAGCCTCTATTTCATCGTAGCACTGGTGTTACAGGCTCCTCTCGTCACAGGCTTTGCCATTGGCTACTCCTCTCCCGCTCTCCCCAAGATTGCCTTCCCAACATCAGATGAAGAGTCATGGTTTGGGGTGAGAGGACGTTTTTCACATTTCTTAATTTGTAATAGATTTTCGTGCATTTGTAATTTCAAGCACTGGTGACCTGATATTTGTTCTGGGTTTAAAAATAAAAAAATCATATATATAGGGAAAGAGTTGCATTTGGGCTTTGAAGGGTAGTTTGGGGGTACTAAGGATAAGGAAAAGACTTCGGATAGGGATTAAGATGAGGAATGTTGTTAATGGTTGTAGTAAGGATTTTGGTTAGTGCTGGAGCCATCGATTAGGAGAGTTTGGCCAATACCTGGACCGAAGTTGGGCACAGTATGGCGAATACTGCTTTGTTGCACAAAACAAATGTACAGATGCCATGTTGTGACCACCTGAAACCAAGTTGTCAAAACTCTGTGTACAGATGGCTGTGGCTAGTGTAAGGAAATGTTGCCAGAGCATGTGTTGTACTGTGAAGCAAATCATCTTTTGTGCTATAGCCATTTATCCTCTGGCATAAAAGAAAGCAAATCCAGCTAGGTTTAAACAATATGAGAATTTTGTACAAAAGACTGCAATGCAAATTTTACCTAACAGAAGGCTACATATCTTTATTTATATTCTAATTTTATGCTAATGAACATTAGTATTGGTCAGTGAGTTAACTGCTATATCATCCATGTCTTCTTTCTGTATTAGTCCTTGCTGAATATCGGCGCCATGGTAGGTGGACCCGTGGCAGGGTTTCTGCTCCAGTGTGGAGGTAGGAAGCTGACCATCATGGCTACTGGAATCCCCTTCATCACCGGGTGGGTTCTCATTGGAACGGCCTCCAACGAGCATGTTATCAACCTTTACTGCGGCAGGATACTCACAGGGATGGGATGCGGCATGGCTTGTTTAGCTGTACCGGTAAGTTGTAGCACTACGCAGTCCCTGTAACATTTCAGTGTACTAAGGGGCTTCGCTTGTTGCGGGATTTTACCCAAATGCAAAGGATGCTTACTTTCTAAGGCTTGCAACACTTTAAACACACCTTAAAAAGAAAATGGTGCATGCAAAAATGAAATCATTATTTACTGCCAGTCCTTTGTATTTCTGTTTCTGTAAAAGATGGGATGGGGGAGGGATGTTGATATTAAAGGGATCGTTTAACAATGTTAAATCTGAGATACTCGGCCCTACATGTTATCAGTGTCTGTGATATGGTGTTATATTGAAGCGCTTCAAAATGATCAAGAAGTGCCTCAAAAAAGTAAAAACCTTTGAGTGACCGGTTTACCATCCTCGTTTTCCCCAATAGACTGTAGTGTTATGAAAACCGTTTCGCAAATGCAAAATTTGATTTCGATTTTCAATCATAAATATCTTGATAATCAGGTAGGCAATCAATTTGTAAAAGTCATGGGTTTCCTGACTGACCTAAAGGTTTATATTTATCATTGCAGCATGAGCTAAATCCAGGATTTTGTTTCAGAATCTGAGACAATGTTACCGAGTCACTTTAAGTAAGGATAGGATGGGGGAGGGATGTTGACATTAAGGGTTTAGCGTGATAGTTCTGCATACAATGTTCTTGAGAAACATAACTCACTGAGCCACTTCAACCCGATACACATGTTCCTTCCTGCAGAACTACATCGCAGAGGTGGCCCCGCCCAATCTTCGTGGTTTCCTTGGGTCCAGCTTCCAAGTGGCAGTGACTATTGGAATTCTTCTGGTATACTGCCTAGGTAAGACCTTGTCCACACATGGTATGGGAAACCGCTGCGGGTACCATTACATTGGGTTATTGTTTGTTTTGAGTGCAAGAAATGTGTAAGGGGGGCTTGAAGAAAGTTTGGGTGGGGCTTGAGGCCCCCCCCCCCCCACCCCTCTACACCAGCTACTGTAGTAACCCCCAGACTGGGAGTTGTGAAGTAGTAGATAATTGATGTTCTCATTATTATCTGGATGCTTGCCTCTCACTCTACTGTCAGACAGAGAAAACAACAAAACATAATATAATTAAACGAACTTGCCATCTCTTTTAACATAACGTGTGTCTTGAATATCATCTACCTTGATGCACACAGAGAAATCTGATCCCGTTATCTTTGGGGCTCCGTACCCTGACTGTTTGATGACTATTTCAGTTCATGCAAAAGTATCTTTAATAATGTCTCCATTTTGATTATCCTCAGGGATTCCCATCACCTATTCCTGGCTGGCACTGACCGGTGCTGCATTGACTGCTCTCCTCGTCGTAACCGTGGTGATGGTCCCAGAAACCCCCAGGTATCTTCTCATGAAGCGTTTGAAGAATCAAGCGATGTTAGTCTTGAGAAGGCTGCGTGGTCCCATGGTCGATGTTGAATTTGAATGTCGAGAGATTGAGGATGCCCTTGGTGCTTCTGATGTAAGTTTTAATGATAATGTAAAACCTGTATATAAAAAAAACTAAGGAAGATGAGAAAAATCGATCTCTATAAGCATGTGGTCTTTATGTACAGGTTGCTATAATGCTTGGCCATGTTTAAAAAAAACCTGTCATCAATAACAAGTTACAAGACCTGTTATATAAGCTACTGAAATCATGGTATTTGATTGACTGAATGCAAATTTATTATAAAATATTGCAATTTGTTATTGATAACAAGTTTTATGAAACGGTCCAGGTTTCAATGAGAAAAACTATTCAAGGGAAACAAAGATACAGTCTTTGTGGACAAGTGTCCTTTCTATACAAGTAGTTGATACAGCATGTTCACTGTAGTTATGATAAATAAAATTAGTTCTTTTATGTATTTCCACTTTGTCTTTATAGACAGGTTTGACTGAACAAACTTCTTCTTTTTATGTAGGCGTCCTGATGGATAATTGATGAATTTGAATTAAGATTAAATTTACTTTTGATATAGTAAGGTCATCAGGGCTCTTATATGGTTTATAGTCTCTTACATGTTAAGACCAGGTCCTATATTCGTAAAGCTCTTCCAAGCTATTTCATCAACAAGTTACATACGTTATAGCATGTGATTAATTAGTAGGACAAAGTAGGCCTAAATAGATTCCATGAAGATGGTACCTGCTCTCTGTTGTAACTCGTTTCTAAAAAGCTATTAAATGAAGCAATGTCTTGGTTCTCTTGTAGGATAAATTCCGATGGTCCGAGTTCTCCCGCCCGTACCTCTACAAGCCCCTCCTGATCTCCCTAGTGCTCATGTTCGTGCAGCAGTTCAGCGGCATCAACGCAGTCATGTTCTACACCGTCAGCATCTTTGAGAGTGCGGCGCCCTCTCTAGACCCCAATGTTGCCACGGTGATAGTGGGTGCAGTGCAGGTGGCCTTCACATGTGTTGCAGCTGTTCTTATGGATAAGGTGGGACGCAAAGCGCTCCTTATTACCGGGGGTAAGAAACGCTTATTTACCTCTTGAATGGAGGCTCTATGCTCAATATACTCCTGGGTCTGTAAAACCTTAACGATTCCATGATGGAATTGCTGAACATTCCCTTAATACATGTCATGGCAGCTGTAGCTTAAGCACTAACTGTAAAAGGCACTTTACATTTTATTATCGGTTATCATTTGACTTTTTTCTTCAACTTTTTCTTTCCCAGCAATTGGTTTGGCAGTCAGCTCTGCTACATTCGGATTGTATTATCAAGTCACTGGTGATGGTAAGCAAACAAAACCCTGTATTTTATTTTTGTTTTGTATGAATGCATTCAAATTGTTCGTTTGTTTAACCTGACTGCTATCTCTGCTGAGAAAGCATGTGTATGCTTTTAAGTAAACAACCAGGGAACCAACAACTTCAAGACCTCTCCAAGAGACTTGGTAATGATGATTAATGAACATAATCTTAAATGTGTCATTTCACTTCATATTTGGTGCGATCCAAATGTAATCTGCAGTTGAGCTGTTAACTTTGTGCAATTTGATCAGCATATAATGTTTAATGTGGTCGTTAAGGTATTGGACAAAATAGCATGGGCAGTGCTGGACTTGCAATATAAGAAAACAACCTGAATCAAAATCAGTTGATCGTTGATCTTGTGTCAAAAACAACCCCCTACCCTGCAACTTCTACTTATTAAAGGTATATACCAGTGACATGCGATTGAATTGTGAAAGAAACGTGACAAAATCGATCAAAAAAGGTTGATCATCTAGCGTATAAGTATTGGTGTACTGCAAGGTTCTGGAATCATCAAAATGATAAGAAATTTGGCCCAGTCTTGGTAAAGTAACAAGCACTGTACACGGAAAGATGTATATGGGACTACGCGATATCTATCCAGTCCGGATAGATATAATAATTTACCAAATATATCAATTAGTAGGCGGTTT